TTATGTGCTATTAGTCGTGGGTGCTACGTATGCACGAGGTGACGAGAGACCGTACGTGGCTAAAGTATGTTTATGTCCGGGTAGACTTAGGACTTTGCCATGTAATATTTGAAATATTTGAACTCATTCTGTTGGCTTAATTAATTAAAATTATAACTAAACTTGATTTAGAAATATATACATATATACATAGGGCCGAGCCTTATTACCTTGAGTTTTTGGCAAGTTAATTGAGAAACGGTAAAGGTTACACTCACCTTGTGTTCGTATACTGTTTCGTAAGCTCGTGTCTCGTAATTCAATAATTCCTTTCCTTTTTTGTGGAGCGGGCTGAATGCCTCAGCATGATTATGTACCACACTCTCATGGAAGCGGGCTGTTTGCCTCGGTATTATAATAGATATCTATAGTTCGTGCCCTCAACCCCGGCAGTGTACACGTTATTATGGGATCGGACTGATCGCCTTGGCAGTATCATATTCCTTATGAGATCTGGTCGTACGAGTTCGACATAATTGTGCGCTATATGTCACTAGCAGTCCGAATATTCACGAGATTTTTCCGTCCACCAATGCCTTGCATTTTATATGGTATTTCTTATTCATTTGATATTTTCACTAGATATTTTTTGAGCTGTTGAGTTAGAATACGAGATATGAAATTGATATCGTTCAAAGAAATTTTCGAAGATTGTGTTAGTTACAAATTTAGCTCACTGCTATTGTTGTACTCTTATCTGTTTATGATTTACCATATTGATTTATTGGACCATTAGTAAGTATCGATGTCGACCCCTCGCCACTACTTCTCTGGGGTTAGGCTAGATACTTACTAGGTACGTGTTGATTTACGTTTTCATGCTGCACTTCTGCACTAAATGTGCAGGATCTGACAAGTTCATTTGATGATCATCTTGGCGCGTAGGCGCAGCTATTGAGAAGACTTCATGTGAGCTGACTGTAATGACCCGGACGGTCGTTTTGAGTATTACAGCCATGTTCCCCCATTTTCTTCTTATCCTGTGTTCAATTATAAATGTGTCTTGTTGGGGAGGTTTTAGAATGAATTTGGAACACTTAATTTCAAGATTTAAAGCCTAAGTTGAAATAGTTGGCCGGATGTCGAATTATGTGTAAATGACCCAGAATAAAATTTTGATGATTCCAACAGCTTCGTATGGTGATTTTGTATTTATGAGCGTGTCCGAAAAATTATTTGGAAGCCCGTAGCTAAATTAGGCTTGAAATGGAGAAAATAGGAAGTTTAAGTTTGGAAGTTTGACCGGGGAGTTGACTTTTTGATATCGGGATTTAAATCCGATTCTGGAAATTGGAATATGTATGTTATGTCATTTATGACTTGTGTGCAAAATTTGAGGTTAATCGGACTTGATTTGATAAGTTTCGGCGTTGAATGTAGAAGTTAAAAATTCTTAGTTTCATTAGGCTTGAATTGGGGTATGATTCATGGTTTTAGCATTGTTTGATGTGATTTGAGGTTCGACTAAGTTCGTATGATGTTTTAGGACTTGTTGGTGTATTTGGTTGAGGTCCCGAGGGTCTCGGGTGAGTTTCAGATGGTTAATGGATAAAAAATCTAGACTTAGGAAAATCTGGAAATTTTGCTTCTGGTGTAACCGCACCTGCGAAGCTTTGATCGCAGGTGCGATACCGTATGTGCGCAAGGACCATCGCAGAAGCGGCCATGAGTGAAGGGCAGGGCAGGTTGCGCATGTGCGGAGATTTTGCCGCACCTGCGAGCTCGCAGATGTGGCTGATTGACCGCAGAAGCGGAAATGGGGGGGAGTTTGGACTCGTCACTGAAGAGGACAACTTCTTCTCAGAAGCGTGTCCGCATAAGTGGTTAAAATACCCCAGATGCAGAACCCTTGGGCAGTATACATTTCGAAGGGGTTCCGAGTTTTTCCATTTTTGGACTTTCAAGCACGGTTTTGGGGCGATTTTCAGAGGGAATTCACGGAAAAACTTGAGGTAAGTCACTTGTGATCATTTGTACTCCATAATATTGAATTATCATCGAATAATCCGACTAGTTTACGTGTTTTTGAGGTGTAAATCGGGAATTTGGACCGAGGGATTTGGAAATAAGATTTAATGATTTGGAGGTCGAGTTGATGTCAGAATTTGGTAAAATTTATATGGTTGGACTTGTGGTTGAATGGGCGTTCATATTTTGTAACTTTTGTCAGGTTCCGAGACGTGGGCCCCATAAGAGACCTTTTTTGAGTAAAATTTTGGATTTTGTTGGAAAATTAGTATTTTCATTTGGAATTAATTCCAATAATTTTTATTGACTGAATCGAATTAATTGTGACTAGATACGAGGATTTCAGAGACCAATTCGCGAGGCAATGACATAGTAGAGTAAGAAATTACACGGTTTGAGGTAAGTAACATTTCTAAACATGGTTCTGAGGGTATGAATCCTCGAATTTGGTGTTATATCAATTGTTTGAAAGTGACGCACATGCTAGGTGACGTGCGTGTGGGCGTGCACCATAGAATTTGTGATTTAAATAAATTCTATGAAGTTGTTAATTTAAAGAATCATGTTATTATCCGAATATTCTCCACGTGTTAGGAAATTGAGCCGAGACTCTTATTAAAGATCATGTTTAGGCTACGTGCCGATAGTTTTGGGACCCATAGGGTTGTGTTGCTATTGAATTTAATTATTTAAAAAAAATGTATATTTCATACTCAATCATGTTCATCTATTGTGAGGATATTTATGGGATCGGGGCTGCCCGCCTGCAGTAGGTCATATTGGCTTTATATATATATATATATATATGGAATGGGGTTGTCCGCTTGCAACAAGCCTTATAGGCTTTATTATTATATGGGTCGGGGCTGCCTACCTGCAGCAGGCCATATCGGCTTTATATCAGGCTTGGGTTGAAGGAGCCCCTTCGGAGTCTGCACCCCCCCCACGGTGAGCGTAGATGATTTGTATACGGGATGGACTTCCTAGGGCATGGACTTACCTTACTTATTTATATTTGTGATGAATTTCCCTGGACATGGATANTATATATACGGGATGGAACTTTCCTGGGCTGGATTGGCCATATATAGTACTGAGTGACCGAGTAATTTGTGATCGTGAGTACACGAGGTTCTTCTACTGAGATGTCATATTCCTCATATCATGCAGTATTGATCTATTTTTCTTTTACGAGTTTAACTGTTAAACTTGAAAGCATGCCTACATTCAGTACTATTATTTATATACTGGACTGTACCTGCGGAGCTCGTCACTACTTTCAACCCAGAGGTTAGTCTTGTTACTTATTGAATTGGTTGTACTCATACTACAATCTTCATCTCGTGTGCAGATCCAGGTGCCTTCGGACACGGTGATTGTTAGATTTCAGAGTGCTATCAATTGCAGACTATCAAGGTAGCTTCCAGGCGTCCGCTGACCTTGACTCTCTTTCTTTCAGTTATTGTACTGTTCTATACTTTCATACAGTATTTTTATCAGTCAGACTTTGTATCCATTTAGATGCTCATGTACCTAGTAACACCGAGTTTTCGGGAGTATTTTATATAAGTATGTGTGAGATTTTTATATTGAATGTAAATATTATGTTTTCAAACTTAAAAGAAATTATGGTTTATTGAGGTTGTCGGCTTGCCTAGTATTGAGATTGGCGCCATCACGACAGGTTAGGATTTTGGGTCATGACAAGTTGGTACCAGATCCTAGGTTACATAGGTCTCACGAGTCATGAGTAGGTTTAGTAAAGTCTTGCGAATCGATACGGAGACGTCTGTACTTATCTTCGAGAGGCTGTCGAAACCTTAGGAAAATTTCACTTTATTGTATTCTGTCGTACAAACTTGTTGATTTCGGAAATTAAATTTCTGTTATTCTATTCTCTTACAGATGGTGAAGACACGTACTACCGGATCAGATAGTTAGCCACCAGTGCCACCAGTTAGGTCCGCGAGGCCGGGGCCGTGGTAGAGGTCGAGGCCGAGGTGTAGCTCATACAACAGTTAGAGCAGAACCTGTAGCACCATCAGTTGCTCCATCTCAGGAGCAGATTCCAGATATAGCTGAGCCTATAGGACCAACTAAGGCACCAGATGTGCCTATTGTGATTCCAGGCCTTTAGGAGGCTTTAGCTTAGATTTTGACTGTTTGCACTGGCCTTGCTCAGGTGGTTTCGGCTCGGGCCGCACCTGCAAATTCTCAGGCCGGGGGAGGTACTCATACCCCTGTTGCCCGTACTCCAGATTAGGTAGTGCAGGGACTTCAGATACCGGGGGCACCACCAGTCCAGCCGGTTGCAGCTACTCAAGACCAGGTGATCCCTGTTATGGGCGATGATGAGCAGAGGAGATTTGAGAGGTTTGGGAGGTTTTGACCTCCATTATTTACCGGTGCTAAGTTAGAGGATGCTCAGGGTTTCCTAGATAAGTGCCGGCGGATGCTTCAGACAACGGGTATTCTAGAGACCAGTGGGGTCTCGTTCACTACTTTTTAGTCTTCTGGAGTAGCCTTCAGATGGTGGGAGACTTATGAGAGGAGCAAACCAGTTGGTGCAGCATCACTTTCATGGCATGAGTTCTTCGAATTATTTATGGAGAAGTTTGTGGCATAGACCCTCAGGGAGGAACTGTGCAGGCAGTTTGAGTACTTACGTCAGGAGGACTTGTCCGTGACTCAGTATGAGATGCAGTTTTCATAATTGGCCCATCATGCAGTTTGGTTGGTTCTGACTGAGAGAGAAAAGATCATGAGGTTTACTAATGGCCATAACCAGAAGTTCCGTTTTGTTATGACTCTAAGGAATGTAGCAGGTGCTAGATTCGATGAGGCGGTTGACAGTGCTCGATGGTTAGAGACGGTCCGTACTCAGGAGCGTGAGGAGAGGAAGCCAGAGGTCTCGTGGTTCGGGTAATTCCAGCGGTGTTCCTTCTGGGGGACAGCCCTGTCACAGTAGGGGTCGTCCTTATAGGCCCGCTCAAATGGCTCGTTCAACTCATTGTGGCACATCAGCTAGCCATGGTCCATACAGTGCTCGACAGAGTCAGTCTTCTCTTGGTGCACTTCCAGCTGAGAGTTCATCTCGTGCACCATCACTTCAGGGTTCCTCTATACCAGGTTCTTCTGGTAGTTATTCTGGTTCTCGAGGTCTGCCTTAGAAATCGCCACTATTTTTCGAGAGGGATTGCTATGAGTGTGGAAAGCTGGGTCATGTGAGGAAATATTATCCCTGCTTTTTGCGAGGTCTAGTTCAGCAGAGGAGTCAGGCTACGACTTCTGCACCAATTGCTCCACCACCCACCCACCCAGCTCGGGGTGGGGCTCAGTCAGCTATGGGTCGCCCAAGAGGGAGAGGCCGACTAGGTGGCGATCAGGCCAGATTTTATGCTTTTCCTGCCATGCCAGATGTCGTTGCTTCAGATGCAATAATCACAGGTATTGTTTCAGTGTGCCACATGGAAGCTTCTATATTATTTGACCCTGGTTCCACATATTTGTATGTTTCATCATATTTTGTTCGTTATCTGGATATACCCCATGAGTCCTTAGTTTCACCTGTTCGTGTATCTACGTCGGTGGGCGATACTATTATTGTGGACCGTATGTATCAGTCGTGTGTTGTAACTATTGGGGGACTGGAGACTAGAGTTGATCTCTTATTACTTAGTATGGTTGATTTTGATGTAATCTTGGGTATGGATTGGTTGTCTCCATGTCATGCTATTCTGGACTATCACACAAAAATGGTGACGTTGGTGATACCGGGGTTGCCGAAGGTTGAGTGGAGAGGTTCTCCAGATTATGTTCCCAGCAGGGGTAATTTCTTACCTGAAGGCTCAACGTATGGTTGGGAAGGGGTGTTTGTCATATTTGGCCTTTGTTAGAGATGTTGATGCATACACTCCTACTATTGATTCTGTACCCGTAGTGCGGGATTTTTCGGATGTATTCCCTACAGACCTACCGGGTATGCCACCCGACATGGATATTGATTTCGGTATTGACTTGGTGCCGGCCACTCAGCCCAGTTCTATCCCTTTGTATCGTATCGCACCAGCTGAATTGAAAGAATTGAAAAAGCAATTTCAGGAACTCCTTGATAAGGGGTTTATTAGGCCTAGTGTGTCACCTTGGGGTTCACCAGTTCTATTTGTGAAAAATAAAGATGGTACTATGCGGATGTGTATCGACTACATGCACTTGAACAGAGTTACAATCAAGAATAAGTATCCTTTGCCGCGTATTGATAATTTATTTGACCAGCTTCAGGGAGCGAGTGTGTTCTCTAAAATTGATTTGAGATCTGGGCATCACCAGTAAAAATTCGAGATTCGGATATTCTAAAGACGGCATTTAGGACCCGTTATGGTCACTATGAATTTCTCGTGATGTCTTTTGGTCTGACCAACGCCCCAACAATATTTATGCACTTGATGAATAGTGTATTCCAGTCATATCTTAATTCATTTGTCATAGTATTTATTAATGATATCCTGGTGTATTCACATAGCCAGGAGGAACATGTACAATACTTGAGTATTATACTATAGAGGCTGAGAGAAGAGAAATTTTATGCCAAATTCTCTAAGTGTGAGTTTTGGCTTAGTTCGGTGGCATTCTTGGGACACATAGTGTCCAGTGAGGGAATTAAGGTGGATCCGAAGAAAATAGAGGCAGTTCAGAGTTGGCCCAGTCCATCTTCAGCTACTGAGATTCGGAGTTTTCTCGGCTTGGCCGGTTATTATCGTTGCTTTTTAGAGGGCTTCTCGTCTATTGCATCGCCCTTGACTAGATTGACCCAGAAAGGTGTTCCATTCAGGTGGTCGGATGAGTGTGAAGAGAGTTTTTAGAAGCTCAAGACTGCCTTGACCACAACTCCAGTTCTAGTTTTGCCTTCAACTTCTGGTTCTTATACAGTGTATTGTGATGCTTCTCGGATTGGTATTGGGTGTGTCTTAAAGTAAGAGGTTAGAGAGATTGCTTATGCTTCGCGTCGGTTGAAGCCACATGAAAAGAACTACCCTGTTCATGATTTAGAATTGGTAGCCATTGTTCATGCATTGAAGATTTGTAGGCACTATCTCTATGGTGTGTCTTGTGAGGTATTTACCGATCATCGGAGTCTTCAGCACCTGTTCAAACAGAAAAATTTGAGGCAACGGAGATGGTTGGAGCTGCTAAAGGACTATGATATTACTATTATGTATCATCCAGGGAAGGCCAATGCGGTGGCCGTTGCCTTGAGTAGAAAGGCGGTGAGTATGGGTAGCCTTGCATTAATTCCTATTGGTGAAAGGCCTTTTGCAGTTGATGTTCAGACCTTGGCTAATCAATTCGTGAGGTTAGATGTTTCGGAGCCCAGTCGGGTTCTAGCCTGTGTGATTTCACGGTCTTCCTTATATGACCGCATCAGAGAGCGGCAGTATTATGATCCCCATTTGCTTGTCCTGAAGGATACAGTTCAGCACGGTGATGCCAAAGATGTTACTATTGGAGATGATGGGATGTTGAGGATGCAGGGTCGTATTTGTGTGCCAAAAGTAGATGGGCTGCGTGAATTGATTCTTGAAGAAGCCTACAGTTCGCGGTATTCCGTTCATCCGGGTGCCGCTAAGATGTACCAATACTTGAGGCAACACTATTGGTGGAGAAAAATGAAGAAAGATATAGTTGGGTTTGTAGCTCGGTGTTTAAATTGTTAACAGGTAAAATACGAGCAATAGAGACCTGGCGGATTGCTTCAGAAACTTGAAATTTTGGAGTGAAAATGGGAGCGTATTACCATTGACTTCGTAGTTGGACTCTCACAGAATTTGAGGAAGTTTGATGCTATTTGGGTGATTGTAGATAGGTTGACCAAGTAGGCATATTTTATTCCAGTCGGTACTACTTATTCCTCGGAGCGGTTAGCTGAGATTTATATCCGCGAGATTGTTTGCTTACACGGTGTGCCAGTGTCCATCATTTCAGATCGGGGCACGCAGTTTACATCACAGTTTTGGAGAGCAATGCAACTAGAATTAGGTACACAGGTTCAGTTAAGTACAACATTTCACTCTCAGACGGATGGACAGTCCGAGCGCACTATTTAGATATTGGAAGATATGCTACGCGCTTGTGTTATAGATTTTGGGGGTTCTTGGGATTAGTTTCTGTCAGTGGCGGAGTTTGCTTACAATAACAGCCACCAATTGAGCATTTATATGGCTCCGTATGAGGCTTTATATGGGAGACGGTGTCGGTCTCCGGTGGGTTGGTTTGAGCCGGATGAGGCTAGGCTATTGGGTACTGATTTGGTTCAGGATGCTTTGGAGAAGGTTAAATTGATTTAGGTTCAACTTCGCACGACCTATAGCGAATTTTGGGTCGTGACATATAGGTTTTTAGCATTACCAATGATTCAACAATAGGAATTTCAAGAAGCCGTTGTCCATGTGATGATATTGGGTGCTTTATTAATGGAGATACAGTTGTAGGAACTACTACAATTTCAAATGAAGAACTTAGAAACGAGAATGTTATTGATATTAGTGATGGTGATTTGCAAATAAGAAAAGTGTTTAATAGTGATGATGAAGCTTACAATTACTATATGAATTTTTCTAAAAGTTTTGGTTTTTTCAGTTAGACGTGACCGCCATTTAGGAAGTGCAGAACATCCTATGGGAATTTATAAAAAAAAATTATGTTTGTCATCGAGCTGGTAGCCCTCGTCCTCAAAAGGTAGTTGAAAAAGAACGACAAAGAAATCGAAAATCTTCCATATGTAACTGTAAAGCCAAGATGTCCATCGCCAAATATATATTTGATGGCATCACTCGTTGGACAGTGGTGTATTTTGATAATGTTCACAATTATGAACTTTTGAGTGATAAAGAGGTAAGATTTCTCCCCGCTTATCGAAATATTGACATTGTTGATCAAACACGAATTACACTTCTTGCAAAAGCTGGTTGTTCAATAAGTTTAATCAGAAGAGTGATTGAATTAGAAAAGGGAGTAGATCCCGGTCAATTGCCTTTCACGAAAAAAGATATAAGGAACTTTGTTCAATAAGAAAGTTCTTCTAATATTGAAAGTGATGCCCTGGAGCTATTGAAAATATGCAAGAGCAGGAAAGACAAAGATGTTGATTTTCAATATGATTTCACTGTTGATGGATGTCAAAGAGTCGAAAATGTCATCTGGGCATTCAGAGACTATATTCGTGCTTATGAAGTTTTTGGAGATGTAGTCGTCTTTGACACTACTTATCTATTGAATCGTTATGAAATGCCATTAGGAGTTTGGATTGGTGTGGACAATCATGGTAATTCTATTTTTTTTTTTTGTGTGTGTTCTCTTGCGCAATAAGAAGGCATTTTCTTTTTCTTGGGCTTTAAAGGTAAAAATCATTATAATATCTAGCTACAAGAACTTTTTTTAGCTTTACTGCTACTATACGTTTATTTTGCAGAGTTTTGTACTGCTTATGAATGGAAAGCACCCACAGACCATATTAACAGATCAAGATCTTGGCTTAATAGAAGCTATTGCCAATGAATTGCCACACTTTAAACATGCCTTTTTGTATATGGCATATTACATCCAAGTTCTCTACTTGGTTTTCTTTTGTCCTTGGTTCTAGATATTTGCAATTTAAATCTGAATTTCATAGACTTTATGAACTTGGTAACATCGAAGAATTTGAGCACCAATGGGATGGATTGATCTCTCAATTTGATCTTGGATCAAATAGGCATATAAAGTTGCTATATTTAAATCGTGCATCTTGGGCACTGCCATACTTGAAGGGATACTTTTTTGCTGGAATGGCAACGACCGGACGCTCAGAATCTATTAATGCATATTTGAAAAGATTTTTACATGCCAGAACAAGTTTAAAATAATTTGTTGAGCAGGTTGGTACTGCAGTTAGTATAAGAAACTATGCTGGTGAAGAGGCAACAATGCGGCAAAAGTATTACAATTCTCAAATTAAGACATTCATGCCGATGGAGAAACATGAATCAAAAGTTCTCACGCCCTTCGCCTTTAAGTTGTTACAGGATGCGATGATACTTTCTGTTGAGTATAGTCTATTTCCACATAGTGATGGATCATATCTTGTGCGTCACTACAGCAAAACAGATGGTGGACGTTTTGTCTATTGGAATTCAATAGAAGAGGTTGTTCAATATTCTTGCCAAGAGTTTGAATTTTCTAAAATTTTGTGCAGGCTTTCTATTCGAGTACTTAGTGCTCATAATTATTTCATGTTGCCTGATAAGTATTTCCTGGCTAGGTGGAGGCAAGAAAATCCATTGGTTCTAAAGTTTACTCATATGATGAAATCCAATAACGATAACAACGAGCTCCAGAGTCTTCATTCTACATTCAGAGATTTCACTCTTGAATCAATAAAAACAAAAGGTCGTCTTGAATATGCTAAGAAGGAATTGCAAAGAGTGCGGCAAATTATTCAATGTTTTCCTGAAAATGAGCATATGAAGGAAGAGCATGAACATGTTGCTTTAGTCAATCTATAGAGAGCAATTCTCTAGATGGAGATTATCACATTGAAAATTCACAACAATCTCAGACAAAGGGAAGAAAAAAAGGAAAAAGGTTAGTTGGGGGCATTGATGCTTCAAAGAAAGTAAGATATTGCAAGGTTCCTAATTGTGGTGGAACTGGCCACGACTCAAGAAATTCTCTACTGAAAAGGAAAATTTCAGAAATTCCAGCAACTCAATCTCCTAACAATCAAGTATATGAGTTTCATTATATTTAATCTCTTGTAAAATAAAATACTCATAATGCATACAAACTGAAATAAATTTTTTATTTTGGTTGCAGGATTCTTAAAGGATGGACAAAGAAGCTCTAAGGTGATCCAACTGTGAAAGAGTCCTTTGTTTACTAGAATCAACCATTGTACATCATAGTTTGTTGATCTCAAGTTGAATTGTGTAGAGATAAAAAATTACAAGAAATCATTTTCTGTTTATGAACAAGAAATCAGACGTTGTACATCATTTTTTCGAATAACGACATCTTTTATTCCATGTAAATTTTGTTTTAGATGAGTACAAGAGGAGGGGGGTTTTAATCACTGTGTAACTTTTTCTTTTTAACTTTTTAACAGCTTTTATTTTTTCTATTTTTGTTGTCAAGCTTTGCATATGTATACTTGAAGCAGTGATTCGATTTTGACTCTTTTTTTAGATTAGTAATGTTACCTAAATTTAAGCCTTTCATTCACAAAACTGACCCCATTGTGGCCATAGATTTGAAGTCTTACCTACCCATTATTGTTAATGTGTTTTCATCTTTTACTACTTAATTTGAACAAGGAATCTTTTTGCCCATCAGAACAATCTATAATATATCAGATCAATTATTTGAATAAGAATATGCTTTATTCCATGTAAAAACTGGTTCGGATGTACGAGGGGGACTTCAAGCCTAACCTCCAATACTACTTTTGGTAGAAGAGAACATCCTCTCTTCTTACAAAATTTCAAGAATAAGCTACTAGTTTCTAAAGCCAAATTCATGAAGGAGAATCTCCTCATTGCAGAATTTATTAGTGCTATAAATCTAAAAACTTGTAGAGCTTCAAAAATATCAAACTTTTCAGCAATCATGCGTTCCAGCTACTATCAATCTTCAATCACATAGAACTGACTTCTATGCTGCAAAAGAAAAGAGTTACACCCATCTAGTTACTTTTATGAACATGAAACATCCTAATTCCCAATTGAAAATTTTAGGAAGTAATTAAAAATTTAAATAACCCAAGGAAAAATAATTGACTTACAATCTAGTGAAACACGTCTCCAACCTTCACCCTTCTTACGCTTTCCGCCATGTTTCTGTCATCTCCACCAACTTTTCTACCACCATAGGCCTGCAACCTCATCTATATCACCTCATCCATAGGGAGTTCAAAACAAATATGTGAACTCTACCAAGCACGACCAACATCAGCGCAAAATGAATTGTAGATGTGAAAAATAAAGTCCTAGAGGCAGGAAGAAGAAAACAGAATTGCGTCCTAAAGCAGATCTTGAAAATATATTTTTAGGGCATTATTTGAAGAGGTACTGAAGCCACACTTTTTATCATTTTATTTGAAGTATTGAACTAGAAGATTACCTCAAAAAGTGGTACAACAAATTCATACAACTCCAAAACTGGTAATAGTTCTTAGTCTTAGGAAGAGAAAGAAAAAAAACAGACGAGAGATGTGACGACCCGACCGGTCGTCTCGAGAGTTGTAGCCCCATTTTCCTATTTTCTGCTTCTACTGTGTTCTACAGCTGTTAAATGATTTACCGGGTTGGTTGGTTCGGGTCCGAAGTAATGTCGGAGTGAATTGAGACACTTAGTCTCTTAATTGGAAGCTTAAGTTGGAAAAAATCGACTGGATGTCGACGACCTCGAATTGAAATTTTGATGATTCCGTTAGCTCCGTTGGGTGATTCTGGACTTAAGAGCATGTCTGGATTGTGATTTGGAGGTCGGGAGTAGAATTAGGCTTGAAATGGCGAAAGTCGAATTTTTGGGAAATTTGACCGAGGGATTGACTTTTGATATCGGAGTCGGATTCCGATTCCGGAAGTTGCAGTAGGTTCGTGGGATCATTTGTGACTTGTGCGCAAAATGTGAGGTCAATCGGACGTGGTTTGATAGATTTCAACGTCGTTTGTGGAATTTGAAAGTTTTAGAGGTTCATTAGGCTTGAATCCGGGTGTAATCCGTATTTTTGATGTTGTTTGGAGTGATTTGAGGGTTTGACTAAGTTCGTATTGGGTTATAAGACTTGTCGGTATGTTTGGGCGAGGTTCCGAGGGCCTCGAGTTGATTTCGAGTGGTTAACGGACTTGGTTTTGAGTTGGTGAAGCAGTTGAAGTATTGTTGCTACTAGTGTAACCGCACCTGTGGAGTGGGCACCGCAGGTGCGAGCCCGCAGAAGCGGGCTAGGTGGAGAAGGAAGAAGTTGCAGGTACGAGATCCTTTCCACACCTGCGTGTCCGCATATGCGCGTAAAGGATCGTAGAAGTGGAAATGGCTGGGAGCCACTGGTCCGCAGAAGCGGAAGGCCTGTGCAGAAGCGTACCCGCAGAAGCGGATAAGGGACCGCAGAAGCGGTGCCGCAGAAACGGCTAAGTGGCCGCAGGTGCGAAAAGCCCTGGCAGAATGTTTAAAAACAAGGGTTCGCGATTTTAGTCTCATTTCAACAAATTTGATCTCGGATTTTAGAGATTTTGAGTGGGCTTTCAAGGGAGATTCTTGAGGTAAGATCCTTGTGTTCATTTTTTGTCAATGATTTTGTTTCCCCACTAATTTTTCACCTAATTGGTGAGTTGTTGAGGTGAAATTTGGGGTTTAGGGCTAGAGAAATTGGAGAATGAATTTTGGAGTTTGGATAACCAAATGGTATCGGATTTTGATAAATTTGGTATGATTAGACTCGTGAGTGAATGGACTTTCGGATTTTGTGACTTTTGTCGGATTTTGAGACGTGGGCTCGGGGGCCGGTTTGAGCCTATTTTGAATTTTGGCTTATAATTTCGTGTTTTTCTTGTGAAATTAATTCCTTTAGCCTATATTAATTTTATCGTACTGCTTATGGCTAGATTCAGGGCATTTGGAGACTGATTCGAGGGGCAAAGGTATTTCGGAGTAGGATGTTTGCGCGGTTTGAGGTAAGTAACAGTCTTAAATCTGATTCTGAGGGTATAAAATCCGAGATTTTGGTATGATGTGATTATTTGAAGGTAACGCACATGCTAGGTGACGGGCGTGTGGGCGTGCACCATGGGGGATGGTGACTTGGTCCGTCCCGTGAGACTGTAAAGTCGAATAGCTTCTTGTTAATTACATGTTCCCTCTGATTTCTAGAATTTGATTGTCAATCATGTTAGAAACCATGCTTAGGCCATATGATATCACTGTTGGGACCTGCAACGGTTGGGTACTTGTTGAATTAGCTGCTATTTGTTGTCATGTACTCAGTCATAATTTTACTTGTGTGTCATACCTCTGTTTCCTCTTATTTTCTTGTTGATACTTATTGTTATCTCTTTTGGGCTGATTTATATGATTTCTGCGAGCCCGAGAGGCTGGAGAGGTTAGTGACTGAGATAGGGCCTGAGTGCCGAGCTGTGAGCTATGTGAGCCTATATGGATCGGGTTGCACGCCACAACGAGCCTGAGGGCTGAATGTATATGGATCGGGTTGCACGCCACAACGAGCCTTATGGCTATTTATGGACTGTGGATCGGGTTACACACGCCGCAACGAGCCTTATGGCTACTTATATGATTTGATCGGGCTGCACGCCGCAGCGATATAGCGCTTGGGCTGAAGGAGCCCCTCCGAAGTCTGTACATCCCCAGTGAGCGCAGGTACCTATCGAGTGTAATTATTGAGGGCTGAGAGCCGAGTGTTTGAGCTATTGAGAGCTTGAGTGATGGTTATCCTGAGAGGTTGTTGCTATACTTAGCTAAATTATGTCATTGTTCTGAACTTCTGGAAAATATTGTATCCGGTTTATCTGAATTTAGTAAATGTACAACTGACTTAATTTATATTGATAGAATTAAATCATGTCTACTTTCTTTGCTGAAACAACTAAAGTGAACAATAATTGTATAGCTCGTCACTACTTCTCAGTTCCTTATTTATTAATGTTACTTACTGAGTTGGTTATACTCACGCTATACCCTGCACTTCATGTGCAGATCCAGGTGTATCCGGTCACGGAGTACGTTGATCTCGTGCGTGGTTGAGTATCGGAGATTCACGAGATAGCTACCGGCGTTCGAGTCCTTGCCTCTCCTTTCTTGTTATCTTTCTTTTCTGTATTGGCATTTAGACACAGACTCTTGTAGACACTATTTCTTAGACTGGTTGTTTAGATGCTCATGACTTGGTGACACCTTGATGTTTGGGACTATTTTTCCCGTTGTGTTTTTGAGTTAAACTCCCGTTTTATGAAAAGTCTGTCATATCAAGCTTCTGGTTTATTTTGTGGAACATTTGAAGTATTTTGAAATATCGGCTTGCCTAGTACCATCAATAGGCGCCAACACGATAGCTTAGGGTTTTGGGTCGTGACAAGTTGGTATCAGAGCCTAGGTTACATATGTCTCACGAGTCATGAGTAGGTTTAGTAGAGTCTTGCGGATCGGTACGTAGACATTTCTACTTATCTTCGAGAGGCTGCCGAACCCTTAGGAAATTTCACATTATTGAATTCTTGTCATGCGAATCTTTTGATTCTGGTAACTAAATTTCTGTTGTTCTAATTCTCTCACAGATGGTGATGACGCGTACTACGGGGCATGATGGACAGCCATCGGTACCACCAGTCGGAGCCGCGATAGGCCGAGGTCGCTGTAGGGGCTGCGGTAGGGGCAGAGGTGCAGCTCGCACAGTTTCTAGGGCAGCACCTGCAGATACACCAGTTGCCCCAGTTCAGGAGCAGGCTCCAGTTGTGGATGAGCCTGTGGGACCAGCTCAGGTACCACCCGTGCC